AGAATGTACCAAGTCCACTGTCTGTTGCTGGGATTTATGATGACCACTATGGTAGACGATTTCGGATTAGGTGCGTTCTACTAAGTCGCATGACAACAAGACCAAGTTATGACAACGAGGTAAACCCGAATCTTTTAAGTTGTTTAAGGTGATAGAGGAACGGAGATTTGAGTTTTTGACAGCAAAATAGATAGGAGGTCGTCGAATGTTATTTACCGATGCCATTAAAAGTTACTCAGTCTTGCCTTCCAAAAGGCATAATAATCTAAAATATACTGCAGTTTAGACCCCTCCCGAGCCCCGAGAGCTCTCAAAATTAGATACGAAACCGAATTGTATAAATTTAACACTCCACTACATAGATATAGGTACCAGTGTGTCACAAGGAAGAAAAAGCTGCCAAAGAACCCCTCAGACAATATTATATTATGAAGTTTGTAAATAACCTACATTTAAAAATGTAATGGATGATATTACTATATTCCAAATGAGTAGGCTTGATAAATACCAGTAGATAAATGGGTAGATATGCGAAGGCTCCATTGAAATAGGACGAGGCCTCTTGGTAAGTAAACTAAATAGAATCGGCCTACAAGGACATCATCCTAAAATTATTTTCGTAAACTATATCTGCAGGTCACAGTATGACATATTCAAGAAAGCAAGGATACTTTTCTAAGCTACCTTTACTTTATAATCAAGAAATGGACATAATTTTAGTCGCTTTAATTGATTTAATAATTGATATTTAGTAGGCTTCGAGATTAGCATTAGTTTTCGAATAAGCGCTAGGCCATATCAGGTGATACTAATTGACTCTTTTCACAATAATATGATCATGCCTTCATCGGCTCATGCAACCTATGGTGAAAACAGCTCTCACCTACCAACAAATTATGAATAAAATTTTACTTAACCTAGGATCCTTCAGATGGTTTAAAGACTGATATTGCAATTTTTCCCCGATTATATGAGTAAGCCTTAAATTATTATTCTTATTCGCTATTCGCATTTTACATAAATCATCTTTGGACACTATATAGTTGCTATGAGCTCACTGTTTTTCTAGCCACTTATTACTTCATCTGTCCAGACTAAAATGTGGCTCAACCGAATCCGCCGCTCCACCCGAGATCTTCCTAAGGACGGCCCTTCACAGAATGCCCCTCCGTCAACGCCAGGTTTGCCGATTAGTCTTTTACCGTCCGACCGGCGCGCCATTTTCGAACAAGAGAACCTTCTTTATGAACTTAAGTTTGTGAAGCGGGCAAGGGCCCATAAAAACTTTTGCGTGGCCAAACGGAGATTGGCCTGGTTTCGAAGCCAACAAGACGAATTGACACATTTGGAAGCAACCTTGAAGCGGTTGACAGCAGATACCAGCCGGGAAGAGGCTCGCCTATTGGAAATAAGGTAGGCGCAATTTGGTATATAAAAAAGTAAAACGTACAAAAAGGAATTTGGGCAGAATAGGGAAATGTCTCAGCCAAATAATGGCAAATAGAGCGCTAAATTGTCTTCTAAAAACCCTTGACAGAAAAGAAAAGTTGTGAACATTTTGCGTTAAGGGGATACGAAATTCGTTATTCTATTTTTCTCTTGGTTGGATCACTTCAGACCGAGGATATCTAGCATTTATGCTAAAGTAATCCATTTTCGCTAATTACCAAGGTTTTATCTCTAACTGTGCCTATCAATGCATAATCCCCACATCCATCATCAGCTTAACTAAGGAAACATCTCCTCTGTAGTGAATCCGTCCAAACAATTGCTCAATAAATCGTTTTAGTCTCATTTGGTAATGCTAGGCCCAGTCCTCGTTTCAACTCAATTCAATTTTAGAAGTTGTTTGACCTTGTTTTCGCAACTTGGTCGCATTGGTAGGAAGACTTAGAGGAATGCACCTAGTCCATAGTCCATTGTATGCATGATCATTTCCCAAAGTCGGACCGGGGACGTGGTACATCACCACCACGACACACCATCATGTTCTTCATACCTTCAATTCAATTTTGTTTCTATTCACTAGATCTCAACAGTGCTTCTTGTTGTGCTTACTTCCAATTCAAGTGTAAGTGTTTGGTGAAAAGATTCGAAGGTCGATTCCACCAGAAGACGACTGAAACCTTCTCTTGACCAACTGTCGATTGGCTTTACTGGAACATTTATGCTGACGCTGTTTCCGAGGCAATCTCCTTTGATTCCGGTGAAAAGGTGCTAAGCTTTCGTCCGTCATTTGACGAACATCATCAGAGCAAGGTGTCATCGTCACAACCAAATTCAAGCTAACGAGTCAATAAGTGACGATGATATCTTGCTCTGATGATGTTCGTCAAATGACGGACGAAAGCTTAGCGCATTTTCACCTTGGAAACAGCGTCACCGTGAATGTTCCATTGAAGCCAATCGACATCTGGTCG